AACCTGGTAGTTGGTTGAAAATAAAACAGAGGGCTATAAAAACCTTCAATTATTACTTTCTTTTACTTGAATTATCATGACAAAATTTTCATATTTCTTTTAATGTTCTGCTTGTGACAAAATTACATGACTGATTGTATGTATGCTGATCTCAATTTCAACATTACGTTTGTGAAAATTTTGACAATAATCAAATGAATTATTAATAGAATGAATATATAGAAATAGAATGAATAAAAAAAAATGGAATTTTACTTTTGCATAAGATCTTATTGAAAAATAAACTGTAAATGAAAAGAAAATTATGCTATCTTAAAAAAGATCCATCGCCGCCTTTCCCGACTCTTTTTTTTTCAATAATAAGAAAAAAGTTCTTAATGGATGGAAAAAAATCGGGATAAAAAAAGTTTCCTGCAGGTTAGAAAAGTTGGATTTGTTCCGTTTTCATTAGGTCAACTGGTCGAGTTTGGACAACATTTTGTTTTTGAAGGCCTTTTTTTTCTCGAAAACAATTTTATTTATCTTGTTAAATGTTCAGTTTTCTGGTCTCTTTTTGTCGAAATATTTGAAAATTTGCTCGAAAATTAGAAATTTTATCCCTTTTAAAAAGTAACTAAGTGGTGAAAACACGTTTGAATATGTTCAATCTGTGGGCACTGATTTTAATTAATAATTTATTTATTTATTCATTTATTTTAATGTTATGTAGACGTTTGTAGATCGTCCAAGAATTAGACTCCTCCACATGTACATATGTACAATTACACACTGTATGCATGTGCAACCGGCAAATGGGGCGAGCTGATTAAAAATTAGAGGTTAAGAATCCCTAGTGCAAAGGTAATGTGTTTAGTTTGTCTCTTAAAATTTAAATACAAAATCATTTTTTATTTAATCAGTTTTGAAATCTTATTAATTTTTTTTTATTTGATTTTATGGAATGGGAAATAAGAACTGAAATGAGACTTAATTTAATATGTTACTATTAGTATATATATCATGATCAAATTGATCGATTTTTGCATGGTAAAAAGTTGAAAGGAAAACATCTTTAAATTGATTTCAATTGATCAGAAATCGGTGATTGACCTGTGATTTGGCTGTATTGTGTACATGTCTTCAGCCCCGGGGTAGAACGGGGTACAACTTGTATATTCCATGCAAATTGTAGTGGTCAGCGTAACAATGGGCACTAATTACCCATTGTTCTTCGTCTGCGGCTACTGGTGTTTTCAATAAGCAAACGACCTACACTGTAGATATACTCGCTACTTTGGAACAATCTTAAAGTTTATGGTCGCACGAAAAAAAAATTCCGTAACATTGAATTTGATGACGAATAAAATTGATAGAAAAAATATTTAGAATAAAACACTTTTGTACTATAATAAAAAAAAAGATATATACATGTACATCATGTACGTTGTACAGACTTATTTTAATTATTATTTTAATTCTCAAAGATCTATCTTTCTTCAGTATTTAATTTCATTTTTTAGTTTTACGCATATTTCTTCAATCAACCAATCATTAAATTGAATCTTTTTACCATTTTACAATAGTATACATAGACCACAAAAACATATAAAATGATTTTATACATAACAGTAGGTCTAAAAGGCATGCGTGAATAAGAAACTAAACAAAAAAAATTTGTAGGTTGCTATAAATGCGAAGTAAGGGAATTTAGGCCGGGGAGTATATTTTGTTTATCAGATAAAAGAATAACCCGGGGGAGGTGGTCACAAGTATTTTCAATTCTGAATCTCTGCTAACGATGGTTTGGGACCGGTAAATACGTAGACAAGAAATTGACTTCACTTTTTAAAGAAAAAAAAGTGTGCAAAATGTACAATCATATAGATATAAAGAGAAAGATTGTTTAGTGAAGCACTTTTTTGAAATAATATTAGCATTAATTGTTCACAATTCAGATGCAGGGAAACTCCACTTCGCTTAATCCGAGAAAAAAAAACCTTAAATGTATGGATTTTGAATGTCAGAAACATGACGTTGTGTATCGCACTCATGTCATGAATAAATGTTATAATTACTTCAGTCCTGACTTTTGTATGGTTCATTGCAATTGATTCTCTAAAATAATTTTATTCATGCATTCAAAAAATTCGATAAGTATAATATCATAACTTGCATGACTTTTAAAACAAACAACTAAAGAACAGACCTTGCCCTATCTGCTATCACTCAATTCTAAACAGTATTTCACCCCTCCTTTTTGTGCTACAATCAAGAAAAATCATATAAATAAGCACCAAGTCTGTACTGTTCGTTTATACAAAGGTCTCGGACAAAAATGGAATTAAAAAAAAAATATAATCGCTGCACAAAATTCTAATTTTACAAAAACGCAAGCCGTAACGATATCCCTGTGGCAGAATGTACTAATAATTGACCCGATTCTAAAACGAAAGTAGAACTTTCACACGTGGTTGACATGCATGATGCAACAAACACAAAGTTTGCATTAATGGAAAAAGTTAATTAAGTTATGATTTATTTTATTTTGTTTTTTAACTGACTGACCTACTGACCGCATATAACATGTTTAAGGAGTGGCGCATAATATTAGAAGCCATATGCCCATAGACTTAAAACTGTATACAATGAAAAAGAATTAGCCTAAAGAAAGACGTGAATTTCATTGACTGAAAATCACACTGCATAAGATTAATGTCATGTAGTGTACAATGCTTAAGCCTTAACAAATAATTTAAAAGAGAGAGAGAGAGAGCTAGAAAGCGACACAATGATATAAAATTCGCAGGGAGGGCATCGGAGAACTAGAGCGCGCTGTCTACATAATATATATATAAAAAAAATAATTAAAGATGCTTCAATTTAATTATTTAACCCTGTCACATTCTTCTATAAAATAACAAGGTGTACGCTTCAAGACTAGATTTTATGACAAATATTTAATACTGTCTTGTTAAAATGAGAGCTTAATCTAAAAGTAAATGGAAAAGGGGGGTGTTTTCAACTTAATGTGCTCATGCATTTTCAGTTCTCCACACGGTAAAATAAATTGATATTTACAACCATTGACTGTATTGAAGTATTAAAGATACCCACAAAAAGCTTTTGATGACAGTACACATACATGTGAGAAGAAATATGAGATGAGATTTTTTTTAACCTTTATGAACAAAAATTAAACTTTTTAAAAAAGTACTTGGGAAGAAAAACCACTGCAAATACAACAGAATAATTTTCCTCAGATAATGTCATCTACGTGTAAGGAGAAATTTAAAGAAAAAACATAAACATTTATGAAAGCTTATGTTAACATTATGGTCTAAAAATAATTATAATGAAATTTATAGCTGAAAACTGAAAACAAATTAATAAAACATGACTTTTTTATTTAGAATAATTTATTTTGTAATTGACTGTAATGAATTTGTTAAAATACTTTTTAAAAAAAACCCAAATAATGATTTCTCAGGCTATTTTAATCCATTCCCAGGTTAAAAACAATGACCACAGTAATTATCAGTAGATCTGAGCATCGACAGTACCTCAACAGTAATTATCAGTAATTCTCAGCAGCGACAGTACCTCAACAGTATTTATGAGTATTTATCAGACTCCACAGTAAAAGACGACAGTAATTATCAGTATTTATCAGCAACAACTAAAATTATCAGCAACAACAGTAATAATAACAGTAAATATCAGTAATTATCAGCAAGAACAGCACCGTATCAGTAATTATCAAACATTATCAGTAAAATTTGGGATTCTCAGCACTTTTTTCGTCCAGTAGTGCTAATACCTGAAAATGATATTTTCTGGTTTGATTTTTTTTTTATTTCATGGCAACATGTTTTAAATAATGTAGATCAGGATGTAGAACTAAAAGACAAGACTTGTAATATTCCTGTATGGTATAATTCAAATATTAAGGTAGAAAATAAAAGTATTTTTATAGAAAACTGGTATAAAAGTGAAGGTAAAAAATATTGATTTTTTTTTTTGTCAGAAGACTTTTCAAAATCTGCCTTCAAAGAAAAATTCAGCATTTCCAATGTTGGCTTAATGCAATATAATAGTACTGATTCTGCTATTTCTAAAATTTTAAAGAATATGTCAATAGATAGAATGTACTTGAGCAAACATTGTCAGCCAAATTTACCATTTAATTTTGAAATATTTTTCACTATGAAAAATTTACAAAGAGAATTTACAACTATATGAAAAAAAATGATATAATTCCTACAGCAGTTCCAAAGTGGAATCAAGACTTATCTCCCATGGAGGGACAGATATTTGTATAAAAGATGTTTTTAAAGTTTGTTTTAAGACTTCTTTTGATTCTTTTGTACAATGGTTACAATGTAGAATTTTACATAGGATCCTCCCTGAAGATTCTTAAAAAAATCAATATGAAAACTACTGATGTTTCTAACTTTTGTGTCCAAGACACTGAAACTGTACTGCATTTATTTGTTCATTGTGACCATATTATATCCTTATGGAGGAACTTGAGTTAACATACATACAGAACAAATTCAAAAAGAATTGCATTCAATTCTAAAATATTATCTTAGGTGAGTTACCACTTACTAAGGATAATAGAAGTGAAAACTTAATGATATTATACTCAAAACAAAATATTTTTTCATGTTCATTGCAACCAAAAATACCTTCAATTTTGGTTTACTAAGCAACCTGAAAATGAAATACAATATTGAAAGATGTATATCTATCAACAATTCAAATCTACAATATTTTCAAGAACAATGGATTTTGTGGAAACATATCTTTGAACAAATGTAAGATTATGTGTCCGACTATTGCTTTTAGTATGCATGATAGAGACAAATGATTATGGTGAAGCAACCTTCATATTAATTTAAAATGTAAATGAACGTATGCATGGGTGTGTAAATGTTAAATCTCCATTGTAATTTTGCTGTTATTTTAATTCGATTCTGTATGTAATACAATGGATAATAATAAGAAAAAAAATTTATTTAGACACTTAGATCCTACAATGACATGGTAACATATGGGTATTATCATTAAATTTTATGATTTTCCTCAACTAGATTATAAATCCAATTCATTTGTTCTTATTTTTGTGATTATTAAACCTTGTACCTTTTTCTAGTCAAGGAGTCGTATTCACCAACCACCTCAATAAATGAACAGGTTTTTCGATACAGACGCAGAGAGAGAACAAAATTAGCATTTTAATCATGTACACAATAATCATATATAAGTCTGTTTACTTATAACATTCTCCTTTATAAGTGAAATATCTACCATCACAGTATTGAATCAGTAACTTGATTTCTTTCTCCTTCATTCAGAGGTGATATATAAACGTCCTCTTCTAGATTGTTGTTATCAAATACAACATTGTCCACCTCATTGTTGTCGAGAACAAGTAAATATGTATGCTTCGAAGCACTTTCAAGTTCACGAGGATGGTCCTTTAATTCTTCATAAAAAGAAGAATCTTGTTCGCTTGGAGATTCAACATTTTGAGATTCATATAGACTTAAATGAATATCTTCGACTTCTCTTGAATAAGTTGGTTCTGGTGTGGTATTTGATGCGTTTACATTAACATTTATGATCAGCTGGTTTGGCAATTTAAGATTCCGAAGGACTATGACAACACATAATACTAAAGTTAACAATACAATCGATGATATACTAGCAATTAAGACAGCTTGATATGATCCACTGACCAACGGTGAATAAATGACTGTGTTCATTTTAAATCCCGTTACGGATTGGTATTCATCTGTAGTATTTTTGGTATTGAACTGTTCAACATTCCTTATGGTTGTCCTATTAATATAAATGAAGTTTTGTTCTGAAAGAGATTGAATTGATAAATCAGTCAGTAAGTCCAAGAAATAAAGAATTGCATTGATGATAAGATATGGAATCTAATTTAAATAATTAAAAGAATTGCAACCTGTTGTTTCTAAAACGTGACATCCTTTAGCTGGATCACATAATGCAGATTCACATCTACACTCATACTGGCATTTATCTCCATAACTTGGATATACACAATGAAGTTCACATCTTCTCCCGGTAAATCCTCTGGGGCATTCTAAAATATTAACTCAACAAAATGAAAAATTGTTTCACTAAATATTTAGCAAAGATTGACATTTTTTTCACAACAGATAGAAAACAAGCATAGATAAGAGTAAAAAATACATACTCTCACATTTTCCATTATGTGAATTCCATTTGAATCCATTGCAGCATTCAAACCCATACTTCCTGGAAAAAAGAATGAAAGCAGATATAAAGAACCCTTTCATTTTTCGAACGATTGATAACTTAGAGGCAAAAAAATATTTGAGTGCTTTTCTTTTAATTTACAATGATTGTCATATTTTCCGGACTTCGAAAAACAGAACTATCTAAATATTGTGTCATCACAGGTATGAAAATATTTAAAATTATTGAAATCTATGGATAATGAACCCCTATCATGCTCAAACTTTACTAAGAAATGAAACAATGATCGAACTCTGAAGCACAAATGTTGGATCAGTAGCTTATGTCGTGATCGGACCAATAGAAAAGTAATTAAACATTTCAGTGTGAAATTTTAATGCTTTAGCATTAGCAGAAACAATATCAAACACCATTTTTATTATCATTATTATTATTATTATTTTATTTTGCAAACATGACAATTTAATAATGTTTTTTAAAGTATACATCATGCAAAGAATTGAAGTGTCAGGTCTTTTTCATCATATAAATATCCCTTTAAATGTTGAATTGTGGAACCTAAGGGGATTTCCGTATAAAAAAGGTCAAATATCAAAACAATTGACAGCCAAAAAGAAAATACAAATTATGTCGATTATTTTCATGAATCAAAAACGAATAATATTGGAACACTCTCCATTTCTCTGGACATGATATTCAGTTTTGTATCAACATTTTGCATACGATAAGAATTTTCTTCTATTAAAATGCGATTTTTTTTTCAATTTTGTTTTGTTTTTTTTTTTTTAATTTTTGTTTTCTTTTTCATTTTTTTTTTTTTTTTTTTTTTTGTTCTTTTAGGTCAAGTAAGCCGAAGGTTCGGATGAGTTTCTTTTCTGATCAAAATTTGTCTGTTTTCTGACATCGTCGTCGTCGGCGTAAACTTTTCACATTCCATCTTCTCCAAAACCACTGTGACAATTTTAACAATCTTTGCACAGATGATTCTTTTGGAAAAGGGGATTCAAGTTTGTTAAAAAATGGACACAATCTCTTTCAAGGGGAGATATCTAAGAAATAGGGAAAATTGGGTGGGTGTATTTAAAAATATTCTTCTCAAGAACTAGTGCGCAAGAAAATATCAAACTTATGTAAAACCTTCTTGACATAATGTACATTCAAATTAGGATGGAGTCATTGTAGCCAATCAAAGTTTTATAGTTAAATTTACAGATTTTTAAAAAACATTTTATACTCAAGAACATTAAATACATATTTTTTATATCCACAAAGAAGCATAGAAGGTGGTGTAGGTTCAATTTTTTTTTACTTTAAATCATGACTCCCTTTGGGTCACACATGTAGCTAATACTAGCTATGGGAGGGATTTTGGGTAGGGAGGGGCCGAAATGAGGGGTCACATTTCTGCAAAGTAAAAAAAAAAGAAAATTTTTAAAAATCTTCTTCTCACGAACAGCAAAGTTATTTGCTATATTGATACGGAGGCATTCTCAAGTAGAATAAAAATTAAAAATAACCCAGGGTGTAAATACTGAACTGATTTATTCTGTTTCCTAGCTAATGTACTTAGGTTAGCTAGGTGACCCAATGCTATCTTGTTTAAATCAATGTAAAAAAAAAAACAATAAATATTTTTACAAATTTTTCCTAAGTTTAAGATATAAAATATAGGGAAAACTGGAGAGGTAAGTCTTGTAGAAATTTGTTTTACCAAAATCCAATAGCATTCTTTCTTTGATGTTAAATGAAAAATAGAATATGAACTTATTTTTTTAACTTACCCGTAGCATTCTTTTCCAGATGACATAACTGGTAAATTTAAAGTGAATTATTTATAAAAGATAACCAATATATTTTACAACTATAAATTTTCTTTTATCTGTTGGAAGTATTTTTCAGGAAATGTATTTGGTAATAACAGGAAGAGACAGATAAATAGGAAATAAACATCGAGATGTAACAATTAAAAGTTTAGTATGTACATTGAAATACATATTTGTTGTCATGTAAACGATAGAAATGTGTTACAAGATACTGACATTAGTTCGTATGAATAGAAGTTCATTTTTTGCCTCGATAAATTAAATCAACGTTCTGTTTTTCTTAACTTTATCTTAGATCCCAAAACAACTTTCAAGTTGTGAACAACTATAGAAACTTCATATAGTGTAAAACAGTAAACAGGCAAAGAGCAAAACGCAAGCGTTCATAACAGTATATATTCACCGGATTAAGGTCGTATTCACCGGAAGTTCACTGTGCGTGCAACGTGCAAAGGAATTGTGACGTCACAAAACCCGTAACAACATTGTGAACAATAATTTCAACGGCCCCACAAGCTAGAGTATCTGAGTGGAAAATATAGATTATTATACCTCTACTGACAATACTCGAATTTGATTGGCTGGTAAGAAAAACACAACAATGACTCCAAATGGTACTGTTTACAGCAATACTGACCTATGAATCATTGCACGTGGGATATAATGACCCGGTCATTATTTTTAATGACCGCTAAAAATGACCGCTTAATCAAAAATTCGTTTTTGAATTAAGTTAATGCATAAAATAATAATTATTCGAAAAAAAACATGTTTTTAAAATTGTGCAATATTTTTTCGTTACAATATTATGAATATATCGTTTCCGTATATCGTTACAATTCAGTTCAATAGAATGTAGATGCGGCTCTTTAAAGAGTTGAATTCTGTGTTAGATTTTGACTGGTAAAGGAAAAGTAATCGTTAGCTATAACAATGTATGTAACTATCAACTAAATATTGTTTTAATCAGTAAATTATGATGCAAAAACTTACACGACTTGCAGACGTCAATGTAAATAACTTCGCTATCCGGTCTGTAGCAAATCCCGATCCCGATCAAAGAAAGAATTGATAACGGTTAGAAATTCATACTTTTCAATATATATCGGTATAATAAAACAATTAATTACCCCTTGTGAGATCAACATGGTGAAATAAGGACCCTCGACCTGGCCCACTCGATGACCTGCCCTGACCTCGGCCGCTACGCGGCCTCGGTCAGGTCAGGTCATCTCGTGGGCCAGGTTTCGGGTCTTTATTTCACCATGTTGACCTCACAAGGGGTAATTAATTGTATAATATCACACTGTTGTTTTGATCTCGGCCCTGGTATCAGCCCGAGCGGTTGGTATCGGCCCAAGCCCGAAGGGCGCGAGCCGATACCATCCGAGGGTTGATACCAGGGACGGGATCAAAACAGTGGTGTGATGTTGTTTACATCATATATCTAAAACAAAAAACAAAGAATAAAACAATTTTTTCGATCAGAAAGTTTTTTTTTTCAATTTTGTCGTAAGAAAGTTAGAGTTATCTTTCTTTATTTCGATGTTCCTAAAGATGTTGCTCAACGGTGAATAATCAAATAGAGAAAGATTTGCCTGGACTGGTCATTAAAAAGAATAGTCCTGTTGTTTAGAAACATTTCATTTAGCACATTAAAAAAAACAAAGGTCCCAAGGTTAAAAATATTCTACTTTCACTTTGGATCGAACCGGGGTTACAACTTATTCAACGAATCGTTACAATTTGTAAATCTGAGATTTATAGTACCTCTTTCGTTTGTTTACGATACATACTAAATTAAAAATGGCAATTAATACATGAAAACTTGGTATTGTCTTACTTTTACAGCAAATAAACGTCCATTTATTGTCTCAAAATATAGTTTGTTGCTGTCCTAGAAGTAAGCAAGAGTTACCTTTCTTACATCACAAGTACTATCACTTGGCGCACTTTTTAAAAACAATTTTCTCAAAATTATAGTGTAAATAAATAATTTATAAAAATTCTGGTTAAATTTTTCGATATATAATAAACATTATATCTTTATCTTTCTTTATTTCGATGTTCCTGAAGATGTTGCTTGACGGTGAATAATCAAATAGAGAAAGATTTGTCAGGTAAGGTCATTAAAAAGAAAAGTCTTCGTGTTTTGAAACTTTTCATTTCGAAGCACATTAGATAACAAAGATTTAAAAGTCCTAAACTTTAAAAGATTCTACTTTCACTTTGGATCCATCTGGGATTACAACTTTTTCAACGAATCATTACACAAGACGCAAGTTCAAGATTTATACTAACTGTTTGTTTTGTTTATGATATATAATGCATTAAAAAACACAATAAATAAAAACTTGGTATTGTCTTTCTGTCAAAGCAAATAAACGTCCGTTTCTTTTCAAAACACGATTTGTTGCTGCCTTAGAAGTAAACAAGAGTTACCTCGCTTACGTCACAAAGGCTATCATTTGGCGCACTTTTCAAAAACAATTTTCTCAAATATCTAGTATTAATCAATAAATTTTAAAGATTTTAGTCAAATTTATAAATAAAGAATATCTTCATTTGATACTCAAATATAAATTTTATTCTTAATATACACACACTAAATAGAAATAATGGTTTGAAATTTGAGGGCAAGACAACCCCTTGACAACGGGCCGAGACAGAGATATCTCAGCCCTGAGGGCGAGACAGCAATAGTTCCGAGGAGCTGTTTTACCTAGTCCAAAACGCCTGTATCAGGGCTGATACACTACTAGCTATATGATATTATTTATCGTAGGATTATCTGAGTGGGCAAATTTATCGTAAGATTATATTAAAACATTTAAAACATCTTACACATAGCGAAACTTGGAAAGAAAAACACTGAGGTTATAAACTGTGAGCAGGACATTTTTTTCAAATTTTTCAACAATAGAGGATCGCAAATCGAAAATTGTGGCAGGCAGCCTTTAATGTATAAGTTTTTCAAATTCAGACTATGAAACATTTATGCACATCTGATGCTGAATGTGGTTTGTTGTTCAATATTGACCAAGGGAAAGCCTAGAAGGGATCAGATAATGGGAAGCGTTATGTTTATAAAAAAAGAACACTTTTCAAGTAATATCCATTTTGATTAGTAGGGCTTTACTGATAGCAAAGTCCTGGCTGTAGGTATCATGATAGACTGCCTTACCATAAATAGAACAGTAAACAAAAACCAAACAGC